AGGCTTATTAAGTAGGTAAAAATGAAAATCACCGGCTGAATACTCGTGCAGATAAACCAACTAACTAATAGTTGGGTTCGTGGAATAATATTGTACTATGATGATCTGCTCAAAAACAGCACCCGTTTAACTTGTGAAATCGAGAAGTGCTTATCTGATTTAAACGTGGTATCCGCGTGTTGGAACTGTGGTGCTGCTAAGTATCTATGCAATTCCACTGTATAATAAGTTAAAATTGTTAGAAAGTAACTGTTGAGAGTAGCTTGGTATAAGCTTTCATGTCTTTAGATTGTGAATGTTATGTTGAAAAAAAGAAAAACACAGGATCAGCGTGCCATTTGGACAGAAACCCTTAGAAATGCTTGACGGTTTGTAGGGGAACAGATGGAGGTATGGTAAATCAGTAGATAAAACTCAGGCTTGCGGCTATTTTCGAAGAATTTGTGGTTAAGGAGTCCTCAGACAAGAGAATATAGTGCTAAAGAACGGTGAGTTACACATGACCTCTCACTACCTCACATCTCACATTCAGGTATAAAGAAAACCAACCACAGAACGTGTGACTCCACATCATTTGTCGCTTGTAATGGTTCACTCAAAAGTGACACTTTTTTCGTGCACTTATTAAAATTTCGATAATGCGATGAGAAGACGAAGTTTATCAGAATTATGTGATATATTTGCGCATTACATTTCGAACAATCCCACCGCACATATACTGAAGAACATTTATATATGAAAATTATAAGGTCAACTAGATAGGTTAAGGGTAAGTCATAACAAAGGAAATATATTAAATTACACAAAAACAATTTTGATTACCACTCTGTATAATAAATCAGTATTACTGGGGTAGGTCAGGTATAAGGACGAACTGTTTTTGACGCATTAAGTGGGTTTTAGTTTCCGTATAACCAAGGCTTCAATAAACCTTAGTATAAGTCCTTGAAGGCTTTCGTATAACACTAGAAATGCTGATTTGACGTCAACCTTATGACCCGTCTCAATCGAGTGCTTTGCAATGGAGGATGATGTCTGTCTATTATTATCAGAAACTGTGGCTGACCTCAAGGACTCAATGAACGCCAAAACTGATATCATGTATCGAGGTCCGCAGATTATAAGCACATCTGATAGCAATAAACAATCTCTAACGACAACCCCGATTACCCCGATTATATTTTTTTATAAATACATGTTTCAGATCTATCGTAGCCGTACAGTGGTTGACGTACGATCTGGATTGATTACAACTTTTACATTGTTTCATACTACCAGCTATAATGATGTATTTACATAATTATTGTATTCTATAGGCATCAGGCGAGGTTAAACGTCTTTGAGGTTTATTGGGCATCGATCAAAAGACTAAACTGCGATCGTCAGAACTTAGCTGATTAGATGATGAAGTGTTGAGAGTAGTAGTGGATACAGCATTCGTTATGAGGTAAGAAACGTGCGGCCACAAACAAAAAGAAGTGAAGTGTGATAAACATATTGCACTAAGGGTTTCTAGTCGATTGCTAAAGTGAAGTGTTAATGAAAATATTATCCGAATACGGCGATTTAATGAAGTGTTTGACATAAAGAGGCAATATTTCTAACAACTTGAACTTGCCTATAATTGGGCATGCCTCACGCAACTTACGATTATTGAAAAATTGTTATTACCATACACTGTTAAATTCGTGTAAAGAAATAGAGATAAATAAAGGTATGTTCCTCATCACGCCGACTTAAAAGAGATATTGATGGGTTTCCAAGGGTAACAAAAACGACTTCATTGGGTCTACAATCTAGACAAATGGGTGTGTGGAAAACACACCGAAATAGAAGACAACAAGAAGTTATAGCAAATCAGTCTGATGTACTGTTACATATTCGTAAATTTGTTTTTTTGAGGCTTCCTCAAATAACACTGGACTACTTACAATCAAGGAGTAAAACTAACTGCTACGATCCGGGGAAGGTTAACGTACTTCTAGTCTGTATGTTTAGATTCGAAACTGAATGCTGAGACTTAGTTCCAATAAGCATTTTCGGAAGATAAATTATGTCACGGATACTCAGATCTTGATAACGTCATCGTTCATGGCTTCTTTTTATTCCAGGCTCCGAAACTCAGTCAGATCAAAAGTGGGGAATGAGTGAGGTTTGTAGGTATGTATAAAAAGTGATTAATGAGTGGAGAAGTACATGAATAGTCTAACTGTTGCGGGGGCTGTACGGTTCAGCCCACCAAGACGTGATCAGCTGCAGATGTTTGACCAAGCACCTTCAGTTAAGCTTGTTTCCAGTAGAACAAATGACGGGAGAATCAATATCGAAGACTTACGGAATTCTTTATTATAAAGACTTAAGCAGTTTCAATACTTGGTCACAAAGTGGTCGATGTCCAATCCTGGGGGACTTCAATGCACCCATGGTAGACTGAGTAAATCTGCGAACTGAATCGTCAGAAAATTCCTTCGACCAGGAACTAGTTGATGCGGCTATCTCATATGCCCTAGTGCAACATGTGCAAGAAGCGACAAGGTACGACCCGGATAGTGAATCATCCTTACAAGGTCTCATACTCACTATGAGGATGATGTTGCGAACCTCCATCATATGCCCCCCCTAGATAAAAGCGACCACGCAGTTTTAACTTTCGACTTCCATATAACTGTCAGTCACGAGCACGCGTCAGCCCAATCCAAACCTAACGTCTGGAAAGCAAATATACCGGATATCATGCACTCAGCATTGTTAGTAGATTGGACAATAGACCCAGAGTCCTCAGTTGAAATGGCCTGGGACGCATTTCGAAATTCATACTTAAAAGTTACCACACCTGACAGCCCTTGGACTATACTAAGGGGGCCGAGAAACTCGCCACCATGGTTCAGTAGGGAGGTTCGCATCCTTCTCCGTAAGAGAAGAAAAATGTGGGATAGATTTAGGTTACTGGGAACTAATGAAACTAAATCCCAGTATAGAAAAGTCCGGAATACCTGTCCCTCGACCCTCCGTAAATCTGGAAAGTTGTACGAAGAAAAGATTGTTAAGGAATCCATAGAATGTCCTAAACGCTTGTATTCTTATATAAATCAAAGGACAAAGAGAAGAGGAAATATTCTTGCTCTATGGTAAGGCTTAAATGTTCTCAAACTACTTTAGCAATGTATACACCATAGAAGCACCCTTCCTGTCAGCGCATACAGATTCTCCCACACATATACTGGATAGCGTGACCATTAAAGAACTCGATGTCTTTGGTCTACTAAATAAGCTTGACATAGGTAAATCCAAGGGGCTCGATAAATTACATCCTTGGCTACTGAAGGAATTATCTAACTTCGTTGCGAACGGTTTAAGTATATGGTTTAACCTATCCGTTACGCAGGGCCGTTTATCCAAAGGCTGGAAAAACGCCATAGTAAGTCCTGTCGTCAAAACAAGTACGAAACAGCAAACCTGAGAATTAGCGCCCCGTTAGCCTAACTAGTGTGGTTGTTAAAATCTTAGAAAAGATTATTCAGATGGAGCTGTTTAAGTATCACGATAAAAACCGGATCCTTTCGGAGAAGCAGCACGGTTTCAGAATAGGTTATTCTTGCCTCACTAATTTATTAGTGGCTCGTGAAAGCTGGTGCGCTCTTAAGGACCAAAAGTTACTTGTAGACGTAGCCTTCATTGATTTCAGTAAAGCTTTTGACAAGGTTCTGCACAACCGGCTGTTATATAAGTTAAGAAATGTCGGGATTGAAGGCAATCTATTGAAGTGGATAAAAGACTTCTTAGTTGGGCGCCAACAAAGAGTACGGGTGAACTCAAAGTTATCTAGCTGGGGAACTGTGCTTAGTGGAGTGCCTCAGGGTACAGTTTTGGGGCCAGTGCTATTCCTCTTGTATGTAAATGACCTTCCTCGTCTCCTATCATCATCGGTCTTGCTATATGCTGACGATGTCAAGATATGGAAAACGATACGATGTAAGAGTGATAGCTTAGAACTTCAAAATGACCTGAAGAGATTATCTGAATGGTCTCAAACATGGCAGTTGCCGATGAATATTACAAAGTGTGTTGTGACGCATATCGGTCATCAAGGCACAGATACATACACGATGAATAACACTGAGCTACCTGTCATCCAGACATATAATGACTTAGGAGTTATCGTTAGCCAAGACTTAAAGACTACTGCACACTGCCGTGTAATAGCCGCCAAAGGTTTTAGAACGTTATGGTCAATACGTAGGGCTTTTAGTTATGTCGACGCTAAAAAGTTTTTGACTTTGTATACAGTGTTCGTACGTCCTAAACTTGAGTGCTGCATACAAGCGGCTAGCCCCCGCATAAAATAAGAAAGTGAGCTTCTGGAAAAGGTTCAGAGAACGGCAACTAAGCTGATCCTCGGAACGGCGAAGCTTCCGTATGATGCTCGACTGGCCAAGCTGAACCATTTCCCGTTGTCATATCGTAGAACTAGAGGCGACTTGATTACAGTTTTCAAATTGCTTAGTGTCAAATTTGCACCTGATATGTCCTCATTTTTCTTGTCTTCCAAAACAGAGAATTTACGAGGACACTCCAAAAAAGTTCACAAGCCGAGAACAAATTACTTGTCAGCTGACTATCGATTTTCCCATCGAATCATCAACGAGTGGAATTCATTACCCCAGCACGTGGTTGAGGCTCCATCTGTCGATTCTTCCAAAAGAAAGTTGGACCAACTGAGGGACCACCATTGCTGGGACTATCACAGGCCATCTAGCCTCCTGTCCTTTCCAAACTGAAACTGATTTATCGCCACTGGATGTCAAAAAGCTATTTAAGATTTCCTATTAGTCTCGTGTTCTATAAGACAAAATGCGTGATTGTACCAAACAAATGGTTCATTATAAGTGAGGCTTGTAGTGACCTTCGAGATGAATTTTGTTATAATGCATGGGAGCTCAAAGGGAGTGATTTAGCTCAGTTTTCATCTAGTGTTTTGTTTACGTGGGAGAGGTGGCTTCATGTCCCTTTCACCGTTGAGATCCGTTCTCAGTAACTTTCGAAAGCCTGCGTTAGCCTCTCAGTCATGTATCAGCCAATGTCAGTCCGTGTTATCATCAATATCTGGCAGACAGAATCAAAATATTTCAGTTACTTCGCATGACGAACATACTCACTCTAGTAACTAACTCACCTATATTATTTATTTTGAGGTAATAACCAAACTTTTAGTTTCAGAGATTCAAGACTGGCCCATGTGGCTAAGTCAAATTCAGAAGTTATTCGTGCATTACTAGTTTTCAGAATATGCTCCTTTCCAACACTTGTTAAGTATAACAAAAAGGTATATTGCTATTCTCATCACATTGCTTAGCTTATGGATATTTCCAGGAAAATATTTGGAAGGTCGTTGTTTCGGTTAATAATGAAGATGACATTCTATGGACATTTTGTTGCGGGTGAAAATGAAGCCAGTATTCAACCATTAATTATGCGTCTAAAGAAGTATGGAGTAAAGTCAATACTTGACTATAGTGTTGAGAAGGACATACAAGAAGATGAGGCCGTCCAGATAGTGGAGTTAGTCACGGAAATGATATTTCTAATAATGATGTGCCGTGAATTTCGTCTGTTTTGTTTCCACTACCTTGAAAATACTAAAAGATCAAAATAATTAGATTTAGAGTGAATTTGTATCTAAAAAACTGGTCTAAACGTTTATTTTCAGGCCTTCGTATTCACATATCTGTATGCGTTTGGTGTTTCGACCAACAAAGATACAGTTGCATTTATTCTCTCTTACAGTAGGATTCTTCACATTCTTTATGTCGTTTACTTAAGGGTTTAGATGATGCATATTGCTTTGATTGATATTAAAATACTTCAAACCTGGAACACTGATATTAAAAACGATCGCAAGCTTTTTGTACGGTTGTTAGCAGAGTACTTGATTCCCTCAGCAATATACTGAAGGTAAGGCCACTAAAGATGCCACAGATATTCAGGGTTTGACATTGAATTTTCCGTGACACCTTTGTAATCGAAGGATACTAACCCAGTCAGATTGGAAGTCAGAAGTGAGTGAATCCAAAGATATATTTGATAGGCTGTCAGTATGTTTAGAAGCGTTTGATCTTATCTGGTTAGTAGTTGTAAGGAATGCGAAACACGGCGTTCCCACTCGTGATCTGGTTCAGACGTGTGGCCGGGCGCCTCTAGCTGTGGGTGTCCAGTAAAACTATTAAGTCAGCATCAATGTCAGAGACTTACAGAACTATTTATTTGGGAATTTATTTACCACTATACGTCTGTCGATATCGGTCTTCAATGTCTTTGTTTGTTCATTCTTGTTCCAGGTAGATGATTAACTGTATGCACATAAAGTAGATTTACATTGTTCCCCGGTCACTCGGATTTAGATTTTCACTAAATTTCGCAGTTTCCTTTCAATGATAAGTTGAATTATCATTATACTCACTAGTTGGTTAAGTTGATACTTTCATTTTAGAAAAAGCCTAAGTGAAGTTTTACAAACCCCCGAAAAACGACCAGAGGCAGCCACTAAACAGTATCAAATCAGTGTTCGGTTCGCCAATCGTACGAAGCAGGTTGTTGGGGCTCGCTCGTACTTTTATAAGTCTGAATATCAGTGTGACCATAATATGGAGACATTTATGAAATGTATTGATGTTTCTTCAAAATACGGTGAAGATCGTGGTTTTACTGCAATTAAACTTACAGCACTCGGACGACCCCAACTTTTGGTAAGAGTATCTTGTCATATTTAACGATTTAGCAACAAATGTCTGACTTTTTAGTGCAAATGAAACGACTGTTCTTCCTACTTACCAAAGCGGATAATGGACAGAAAGGTGGACTTGCATCGCTTGATCTAGACAATTTTCGTAAAAAGCTAGAAGCATTAGGCGTGAAAATTGCATATGATGAAGAAGTTAAGTGGTTTACTTTGTTGGATGTCTCTGGAGATGGGTATAATTCTGAGTTTGTCAATAATTTCTTTAGTGTTTTAGATTTACTTGATTGGAGTCACTTAAAGGCTTTTGAATACGACCTTGCAAGTCTGTTTATTCTAAAAAATAAAAAGGTGAGGTCACTTTTTAATACCAAATGGTGACTAGAGAATTATAGTGGTAGCTTTATGGATATTTCTGTCAGCTACCAATCAGTCAGCTTTTTAACAAATTGTTATGAAGTTTCCAAGGATTTTTCACAGTTCCAAAGTTTTAATTAAGTATTAGTCACTGTAGTTTAGTACATAACTGTGTCAGTGCAAAGGCTACAGGTCTTATGGTGTATGACTAACTAATCTCAAATAAGCCGAAGTAGAAAAAATAAAGTCTGCATATGTTTTTAAAAGCACAGAGCAACACCCTTTTATCAGCTTAAAATGCTCTTAGTTTTAGTTACAGTCCAAAAGATTCATCTAGATATTAATTTTTTAAATAATTATAAATTAGTTTATCAGTTGTAAATTACCATATAACCATTGTTAATAATCTAATTTTCAAGTATTTATCTTATAAAGGTCTTTCGTTGTTTCACCCTCACTCTAGACTGGTGAAGTAGAACAGCTTGTACCTACACTTACAACTGAAGGTATTGAGGAAATGCGGAATATGATAAAACGTGTCGATACTTTAGCAAGCGTAAGTATTGTTTTCCAAAATTTTCTTGTCACTACGTAGAGTACAGTCTAGCTTATAACAGAACCCTTACTAATTATGGCTTTAAGCCTAATTTCGACAAGTACACGTTGAATGCGATAAGGTGTTACAGTAAGACATGACTTCTTATTTAGAAATCTAAAGCAAATTATCTATTCACAACTGTCTTTACACGTATGTAGTTTTAGGGTCAAATACTATCAACCGTAGTAATTTTGGTCAATATAACGATGAATTATACCGGGCGACGTTTTTGCTGATAACTTTGTTTCACAGTTCATTTTACGTTTTTTACTGCTACATTGTGGTAATTATCTTCCTGAATGACATTTTGACCATATTAGTAATGAGATTCACTCGATGATTTCACCACACATAACAACTTTGGTCGGACACTTAAACACCATAGAGATAGGTTACTAACCTTTACGCTAAAATACTATCGCTTGCAAGAAATTACCATAATTCTCCAAAAGGACAGAAATTCAGAAACACGTTTAAAGATATAACCAATCTGTTCTGACTGTATGAGATGCCATGTTCTGGCATATTCGGACAATGAGACCCACTTGTCTTAATGATTCTCATCTGATTCGTCAAGGGGACTCAAGATACCCTGTATCTTATTATTCCCGACTAACACGATTGTACCTTCTAATACTCTAGGTCGATTGGAGGATCCTCTTGTTAGATATTAATCCTAGAAATAATGGAGTTAGCTTCAAACACTTCCATTAGCAATTACACAGCCCTATGAGTTTAAATATAGTGCTTTTATTGTACGTATGTGTAAATGATCGTCATCCATCTCCTCGTTAAATATTCTCAAATTGCTTCTCTATCAGAGAGGTCAAGTACCACTTCCAGGTCAAAGAAAGTTGACAGTACTCAGCTTCGGTACATTTGTATTTCTACACCCGATGATGGGTAGAAATATGACGGATATTGATCCATATGGCCCTAAAGCCTACTTAGCTTCCACACACTTGGATTTTCTGGTTTTCAAATAGACGTAAAATGACTGGACCCTAGGTTTATAGTGTCTTTGCTACCCAAGCTAATTCCTAAGTGATTATTCCAAGAGGACTTTGATTTCTAACTAACTAGTATAGTCGACCTTAAAAAACAATTTGGTGGTACCATCTTTGATTTCCTATCCCTACTTAGTCCCTTTTTTAGTCGAACGAAGAGTTCCCGTTAGCTGTCCTTGAAGCTCCCACTAGTTTTATTAACTTTAGTTTGTTTACAACTCTGACAACTCCAGTAAAGGTTCAAAAGGTAATCTTAATATTCTAAGTAAATTGTCATTTGAGTATTGACGAATAGATCATGGCTGTAAATAATTAAAATCGTCCCTTTGAATGTTTCGGGTGTCTGTTCTAAGAGTCGACGACCCATCATTTCTGACTATCGTGACACTGGTTGTTGCCTTTTGGTTATTCCTCTTAAGAGCCTCAACAGCCACCAACTATTTCTTAAAGTATTTGCCTCTTACATCAATTTTGGTATTCGTCTTTCTTTGCAGACATTATATAAATGTCAAGCCAATTCTCTTTAACCTCATTGTATTCAGAGTGAGTGGTCTTATATACACTTTTTCTATTACATGGTGCTTTGCTGTTCATCTTGTGGTGGTCCGATTAATTTTCTTCACATTTCTCAGTAAGGTTATTTTCGTATCCGTAGTTCTATCAAGGTATTCCATGCAAACAAAATATCTTTCCAAGTAACTTACAACTACTTTTACAGCTTCCATTGTTTCACTTGAAGTCATGACCTTTTCTTTTCTGATGACATTTATTTCTATTTCCTTTTGCACTAGTCATTCATAATAATTTGTAAAACCACATTAATGAAAATTTTTCACTGGCGTTTATGTCACAACTAAGACGACTTACTATGACTGATTGAACAATAGTTTTTTAAAAGTTGTAATTACTAGTAGATATAATAGTTCATATTCACTTTATCTTTCAGTATGCAAAATCTGTTGGAGTTCGAGTTATGGTGGATGCAGAGCAATCATATTTTCAACCTGCTATAAGAAGATTGATTATAGAAATGATGCGTCTATTTAATAAAGACAAGGCTGTAATATTTGGCACTTACCAGTGTTATCTGAAGGTTTGTTTCATGAAATTTATTTGAAATTATTCGAGTAATACGTCTCTTATTTTGATTTTTTTCAACAGCAATTATAAGTACTTTTAATAGTAAATAATATTTTTTTTGGTTCACTATTTTAGTACAACACATATAAGCGAACAATTGTTTTCAATTAGATCGTTATCAGGCTTTACTCTAATATACATGAATATTTATACGAAAATTTTAAACCAATCAAGGCAATGTGGGTCAATAATCACAATCAAATATAATAAGTCTCTATACATAAAAGGTAAGAAATACATGTTGATAGTAGGAAGACAGGTGAACTGATAATAGTAAGAATAATAAAATACAATAACAAAACTCTTATTCCTAGTCTATTTACCCATGTTTGACCTTCTATTCCCAATGTTTAACTATTGATAAGAGCTTTGTTATTGTAGTTTATTATTCTTACCACTATCTGTTCACCTGTCTTCCTACTACTATCAACTTGTACTTTTACCTATTATGTGTAGTGACTTATTCTATTTCATTGTGATTATTGACTCATATTGCCTTGATTGGTTTAAAATTTTCGTATAAATATTTATGTATATTAGAGTAAAGCCTGATGACGATCTAATTGAAAACAATCTGTTCGCTTATATGTGTTGTTCTAATTTTCACAATGCGAATCTTTAATACACTATTTTAGTGTTTAGATTGTGAACACAGTCAGACCTCTAGTTACTTGATTTTGCTGTTCTCTTCACTCGCCCATTCAAGATGAATGTGGTGTTTACTATTCGTTAAGAACACACACTACTACCTTGATAAATACAAGAAAATTCAAAATATAGTTCCTTAACGTATCGTCGATTTCCGATAAAAAACTTACCATAAGACTTCAATATTTCTAATTTTACACGTTCATCATGAAAATTAGTATCATAAGCATCATGAAGTATACTAACGATTGGCTTATTATTCCGAAAATTTATTTAATACAAGAGATCTTTTTGTTTAGGATAATTGACACGTCATCATTTCTATGGTATGGAAAAGGTATCTCATTTTTTACGAAATGATCTTTAATATTACTCTCGAAATAAGATTCTCAACCGTTGCTGCTACTTTGACGTGGTGGTCGGACTTGCCTATCATAATGAACTAGTCGAGCTATACTGGCTGAAACAATCGCTCCTCAAGGTCCTACCATACCAGACAGGTCGGTTGAAGAGCGGTAAGACTAAAGCCAGCAAACCACAGGTCCGAGGGCGAAGTCGAGATATCCATCTATAAATTAAGGGGTCACCAGGTAGGTAATAGTGAGGTTAGACCCAGATTATTAGGGAATGATGGTAAATGAGTTGATGAGGTTGTGAATCTCCATCTACTGAGATGGTTGAGCCACATGTTACATTTGCCTGAATACCGATTACCACGACGCGCAATGCTTTATATCTTTCTCCCATTAATTCTTTCTTCGTGTACTATGTCCTTATATGCAATCTTTTTTTATATTGTCACCACTGAATTAACTACTTCTATGAATTTAGTGCTTATCTTGTTGTGCTAATGAGATGTGGCAACTTGGGCCAATGCATATATGTGCCTGATCGTATGCTGTAGCTAATTGACTGACGAAATAAGATTTTGTGGAAAATATGAGGTAGTTGCTTGATTACTGAAGTGATTTCACGAACGCGATATCCCAAAATTAAATCATAATTGATGGCCATAATTTAGACGAAGTGTGAACACGACAGTGAAAGCTAACTGTTCGCTATCTCATAGTTCTTATTTTTTTGATTGATAGTACAATGATAATTTGTTTTTATTGAAGGGATAGCAGTAGCAAAACTCTGGCTTTTATCGTACTTAATCAATGTTATCTAATTTCACATGTTTTTAAACTTGCTAAGGAGTAAACCATCGTTTATGGTTAGTTCAAATTCTTGAGCAGTATCAATTTGAAGGGTGATACATCTGCTTATATAGAAAGCTATAATAATTTTCACAAACTCCTTGAGTCCTATATTTTAGCATAAATCAAAGAAACGACACCATGGTTAACCTTAGCATATTATAAACCTATGGAGTGTACGACAGATCTAGTTTTGTGCTCTGAAAACCCTGAAAATTAAATGTTATCAAACGAATTTATTAAGACATCTGTTAATTTAGATCTTCAAAATAATCAAAAGAGTATTTTATTAGCACTGATGTGAATGCAGTAAGTATTGTCGTATTTCTTGAAACTGGAATTAAATCTCTCTTGTTTTTATTTATTAATCCCTGTTGTATTATTGTTTTTCTTTTTTTCAAACCATTTTCTATGTCAAGTGCTTGAACTGATAAATTTTCTTTTCATCAGATTATTTTAATTACTCAATCAACCATAAATTCTGATTACTAATGTTTTGATCGCTGAATATATTTTATAAGATACTGGGATGAATAAAGGCGACTGAACTAATCACTTCTTATTAAGCCAATATTCAGGATTATCAGTTGTATGTATATTTCAATAGATAAGAACCATTAGTCAACTGAGTATTTGCATATGTATTAATAAAGCTATTTATAAAATATTATGACGATTATTAAAACTAATGATCAGCAATGTCCATAAAAAGTCAAAAAAAAATAAATAAATAACTGATAGTTTTGGCTTCATCGACAATATTTGATGAGTTTAGCTTTTTACATTTCATAACTTCGAAAGTTATTTCATACTTTCACAATCCAACTGACATTTTTATTTACGGTCTGTTTTATAGTTGAGTTGATAAGTCAATTGAAGCTAGACTACCATGGAGAACCTGGAAGCACTTGACGGTCGTTTCGTTCTAGTATGAGACTCCTCAGTAGTGCGTATCCAGGATGGACGGTGGCTTAATTTTGTAGATTGGTTGCAATTAGATATTAACACCATTGGATTCCAGCCAGCTCAGTAGTCTAGAGGTTAAGTGTTCTCGTGAGAGACCGATAGGTCCTGGGTTCGAATGTCGCAAGTCGGGGTCGTGGATGCGCACTGTTGACGAGTCCCACACTAGAACGAAACGGCCGTTTAATGCTTCCAGGTTCTCCATAGTAGTCTAGCTTCAATTGATTTATCAATTCAACTATAAAAACTACATTTATATAAGTTTGAATGTGTTTTCTTTTCCAGTTAGGATCAAAATAGATTAATGGTTCTAATCCAACAACAACAAAAATTTTCAATTTTGAAAAGAGCAAGAACAAACATTCTAGCAGAATAGCATGAATTCATTTTTATTTCGTTGGTTCTCGTCAGCTGCTTACAACCTGTGATATTTAAGAATCATAATTACATAATAGGTTTAAATGACTTACATGAAAGAGTTTGATTGGAAGTTATATTAAAGACATATTCGTATAGAATAGCAAGGGTGTAAATAAATTGAATAGACTTAATATTGTAAAGACATACATTATGTGATGAAAGAACATTCTACAACATTGATTGTAACAAACAGTTCAAACGGCTAGAAACAAGTAAACATTGACAGGAATAAAATGAGTAGAGTTCAGTTGATAAAATAGGATTATTAATTTGGAAGATAGTTGAAATAATACTCAATGATGTATTAAATGCAATAAAGAGTTTAAAGAAAAAGAAAAAAAATTTTTAAGATGCAGCGAAAGAGTATTTGTCACCAAGGCAAGGAAAGATTAATAACCGTCTCCTTTTGAACGCATAGGTCAGATTTTTGGCGTCTGATAGCAACTGCTTCAACTTTTTTAATTAAGTTTATCAAAATTAAATGATAGTGGTCAAATAATAAAACTTTCAAAAGAAATTCCGGAAAAAAAATCATTTTTTTAGTCTACTACAAATTAATACTGATTTTATGTGTTAAATATTTTTTTTTGTTTCACATATGTAATTAGTTGACTTAAGAACATCGACAAATTTATTCATTTTTAATAAATTAGTTTCACTTGGAAACAAACAAAGAAAAAGACAAAATATGAAAATGATTGAAGAATTTAATAACTAAATATAGAACTCTGATTTTTTTTAAAAAAAATTATAATTATATTCTGACATAAACTAGAATGCAAACCACTATTCCAGCCAAACAAGTTGGTGAAGCTTAGTATGCCCTTCTGGAGAGAAACAGGCCATATCGAAGCACAGCACAACTACTCGGGCTAGAATAACAGTTTTTGCAATCGGTTGGAGTTTGCCCCGTAAGGAGTAATACCGTACATTACATGTGCTACTTTTGTCAATTTTTTTGTCGTTTTTCTATCCAAGTGTAATTGTGCTGTGATTGCTTGTGGATTTCGTAATTGGTTGGAGGGTATCGGTCGAATGGGTGATTATCCCTATCTCTACCATCCAGGTTACCGCTTACGTTAGTCCATAGGACTGAGTTTCACTATCCAGGAGGCATGACGAGGACGTGTGAGTTGGATTTTGACTTCTGACTGAGACATTTAACCAAATTTATTTTATATTGAAGTGGTGTGAGGCTTTGGAAATGAGTATACTGACCTGTCCATGTATTCTTTCTAAATATGTTTCGTTTTATGGAACCGTCTATCCTTCTAGAAAGTAGGACATCAAGGAAAGCTATGCTATTGTATTTCTCCTCTTCGTCGGTGAATTCAATAGCTGAGTGGACGTTATTGAAAAAAGTTCAACATCTCTTGTTTGTCGGTATTTTCATCACATACGATTAGTGTGTTATAATAATATATTTCTACAAGGACATGCACACGCCGTTTTTATAGGCATGATCTACAAATTACATTTATTAGTTCACAGTGTGCATCCCGAGTAGGGTTGTTAAATAGATATAATCCATAAAAGTGAATATTAGTTTGTTCTTACAGATGTCTTGGAGTGTTAATGATTAGGTTTATGCTTTAGTATTACACTGAGTAATCTTCAAATTATTTTCACTTGTGAGTCGGGTTTTGCCTCCCAGAGTACAAACAACAGTCAATTATTTTATCTACAATGTTATAAATCTAATTTGAATTAAGAATGAATGATGACTTTTAGAATTTAAAGATAATAAAGTTAATTGTCTAAATATTTTATGAAGTTATCCTTGTTTATTATATCAGTGAATAAACAAGTATGAAAATAAAGGTCATCAAACAATCGACAATTATTCACTTTCACTTTTCGTAACATAATTGTACAAGTTATGGATATTGCATTGTATTCCATATAAAAGAATAAAATAATGACTTGTCTGTTTAAGGCTTTCATTTCTTTTCTTTTTAATATTCTTGATAGGAAGCACTTGAATCACTTACCCAAGACTTAAATCATGCTGCTACAGAAAACTTTTACTTCGGTGCAAAGTTAGTTAGAGGGGCTTATATGGATCAGGTAAATATACATCCATTTTTCTCAACCACTTTTTGTGTTTACTTTCTTTACATGCCACTATTATTGTATTTGTACTGGATTGGGATACATTGTATAGTTGTGAAGAGTAACTAGTGCAATTGACATATTGGTTTATTATTACTATGGTTTGACATTTAGTCAATAGTTCGAACGTTCGAACCTCGTTCTTATTTGCTTCACTGTAAGCAACTGGTTGGTATCACTAGCATTCAAACCCAAATTGTGACTTAAAAACTGATTATACTAATTCGTTCCTGATAATTGAATTTGTGATTGTTACTCCTATATCAGATATTTGCCACATCTCATTACATTAAAATTAAACTGTTTATCTAATATGTTTAGTCATATTTAAGACTGTTTTACAAATATCGATCTCTCTCTCAATATTAATGTTATTGCCGTTTTACTTCTAATTGCAAACTGGAAAAGTTTGTGATAGATCTAGTTAAACAGGTGACTGTATATTATATGGTGTACATTGTACTTTTAAATATATCAGTGTATTTTACTTTCACTTTCACTATCACTGGAACCAATTTATTATCAAGTGTTTGTTATAATTTAAAAACAAACAAACTGTAGGGTATACTATTTTTTTATAACCAACTATTCATGCTCTATTAAGGGCTAAAGCCTCATGTAATTATTTGAATGAATAGTCACAGACTGGTCTCAGCTAGAGTTTCATTGGTAGCCAGGATGTACCAGACATGTGTTTCATTGCAGTATGGGACTCATCAGTAGTGTGCACTTAACCCACAATCACTGGGTCTCATTTAGTAACTATTTGAAATGGTTGTGTCGTCATGTGTAGATGCTATAACAATTAAAAGACAAGTATTTACTGTTAACAACTTATCGACGTTTTCGGTTTAGTTTATTTGATACGTTTGAGTTATCCCATATTGTTATTAGTTATTTTCTCGTCCCAACATGTTAGCCATATGTTGTTCATAGTATTATAAAAAAGCATTATTTATCAGAATACACGCACATTAAAGTCTCCCCACAAGGTCGTAAGCAGATCATAGACTGAAATTAAGGTAAAGTAAAATTTGTTGAATAACTGCTAGCGATTAATATAGCTCAGAACGCCTTGATGGCAAGTGGACCTTCCTCTTAGAATTATCAAAATTTGATTAATATTCCTACCAATGCTCACCAAAATGTTGATCCCTACTTAGTTTGGGTGAACTAGTTTTTTTTAATATTTTTCTTTAGAATCTACAATAAAAAACCTCATGTTGCAGGCAAAAATAAAACTGACGTATCAGAGAAAACCATTAGATATACTGAATATAAGAAGACTGAAGCTCCATGTGACAACTTATTTATCAAAAACCAAATAAAAGTTTACAGGATCGTTAATGGAATATGGCAACTTGAACGAATTTACATTCACACTAGGTTATACGTAGCGTTTGACTGATTGACCAATAGCTTATACATATTTACAGGCAACCAGACTGGTGGGAACAAGTGAAAGATGATCTTGGCCAGATTAATGTTGCCTATTCATTTCATTCCCCCATACACATGTACACACTTGTATCTCTCTTATCGCATAACTAGCCCTTTAAAACCTATTACATTTTTCTTAAACGAAGTAGGCCAACCATATGTAAAACTTGGAAGATATAGCTGTGTCCTTGTACAAGATGTTACCGCACATCATGCAACATGTGTTCTTAGTTCTCAACTGTCTTTAACAAGATAAATATTACCATAACCTGCACTTGGCTAAGCAAAAGTAAGCTCAAAAATGTTCAAAATTACTCCATGACGCTATTGCCCCAAACACTTAAACCCCGAATATGAAAAAACTAAATAGCCTGTCAGAAAAAATACCACTCTGTAATATCTAGTTATTCTTTTCAGTTATTATTCATTATATTGAAATAATCGTAAATTAAAACAAATTTCAGAATTAAATGAATACATAGTAGAAATTATCAGAATGCAAAAGAAATAACATACTGAATTATTCAATAATCTTACTCATGATCACTTATTATCATATACATCTGAAATTCTATAAAAAAGACAATCTAAATAACCTGTAGCAATAAATATATATTGGATACTTACTTACTTACGCCTGTTACTCCTTCACCAGGAGCATAAGCAGCTCACCAGCATTCTCTATCTAACCCTGTCCTCAGAAATCCTTTCCAGCTACTTTCAGTTGTTATTCATCCTTTTCATATCTGCTTCTATTATCCGACGTAATGTGTTCTTTGGCCTTCCTCTTTTCCGCTTCCCTTCAGGATTCCAAGTTAGGGCTTGTCTCGTGATGCAGTTTGACGATTTGCGTAATGTATGTCCTATCCATTTCCATCGTCTTTTCCTAATTTCTTCTTCAGCTGGAAGTTGGTTTGTTCTCTCCCACAGAAGGCTGTTGCTGATGGTATCCGGCCAGTGGATGTTGAGTATCTTGCGTAGGCAGCTATTTATAAATACTTGTACTTTCTTGATTGTGGTTGTTGTAGTTCTCCAAGTTTCAGCTCCATACAGTAGAACTGCCTTGACATTCGTATTGAAGATTCTCACTTTGATATTGGTTGAAAGTTGCTTTGAGTTCCATATGTTCTTCAATTGTAGGAATGCGACCCTTGCTTTGCCGATCCTCGCCTTTACGTCTGCATCTGAGCCTCCTTGTTCATCGATGATGCTTCCCAGATATGTGAAGGATTCTACATCTTCCAGAGTTTCGCCATCAATTGTGATTGGATTGCTGTTCTCCGCTTTGAATTTGAGGACCTTAGTTTTCCCTTTGTGTATGCTGAGGCCTACTGATGCAGAGACTGCTGCTACACTGGCTGTCTTCATCTGCATCTGTTCGTGTGTACGTGATAGGAGGGCTAGGTCATCTGCGAAGTCCAAATCGTCTAATTGATTCTGAGCTGTCCATTGTATTCCATGTTTTCCCTCAGATGTCGAGGTCTTCATAATCCAGTCGACCACCAGAAGAAAGAGGAAGGGAGAGAGTAGACAGCCTTGTCTGACGCCAGTCCTTACTTGGAATGTATCTGTCAGCTGTCCTTCGTGCACTACTTTGCACTGCAGTCCGTCGTATGAGTTCCGTATAATGTTGACGATCTTCTCAAGAACTCCGTAGTGTCGAAGAAGTTTCCATAATGTCCTCCTATCCACACCGTCGAATGCCTTTTCATAATCAATGAAGTTGATGTATAGTGATGAGTTCCACTCAACTGATTGTTCGACGATGATCCGTAGTGTTTCAATTTGGTCTGTGCACGACCGATCCTTACAAAATCCAGCTTGTTGATCTCGAAGTTGGGCATCTACTGCGTCTTTCATCCGATACAGCAACACTCTGTTAAAGACTTTCCCTGGTATTGACAGTAGTGTAATGCCTCTGTAGTTTTCACATTTGCTGAGATCTCCTTTCTTTGGAATCTTGATGAGGTGTCTTTCTTTCCAGTCCATCGGCACTTGTTCCTCCTCCCAAATCTTTTTGAATAGAAGGTGAAGTGTGTTTGTAGTTACTTCGATGTCTGACTTCAGTACTTCAGCTGGTATATATAATGGATAGATAACTACTAAAATGATGTCGTTATTTGTATTTTAATTGGTTGGAATTTACATTTTTATTTGAACTATGAAATTGTTAAACAGTTTAGTCGAATATGTACATACAGCTACAACCTTTTATTTTATAAGATAGTCCCATACAAATAAGTTAGTCAGTCAGGGAGGTTGATTATGAATACAGTGATCTTGAGTGCTGTTAGAGGTGAGGTATGAAGACGGTTATCACTTCCCGGTTGCCCACACCGTGGAAGGGTTCTTCTATCGGTCCTTGAAAAGGAAATTGTGTTAGAGGTGGTACTGGTGACCTGAGGGCGTGACCGCAGTGCCCAAGGGACACCTGCTTGAGGCCGGTCACAACCGACCATTTTTGAGTAATTTTCGTTTCAGCTCCCTACTTGTCAAGACCTTACCTCCGGAGACGGGTATCCATGGGATAAGGCGAGGTAAGGATTTTTACGGTCGAATTTTTCTAGCCCCACCATTTCTTATGGAAAGGCATCATCACTGTTATGCTGGTTGTCTGAAAGAAACACCTTACTGCTGTCACACCCCTGTACAGTCAGCAGTACGACTTCGCCCTCGGATCTGTGGTCTGCTGGTTTTAGTCCTGCCGCTCTTCAATCGACCCGTCTGGCATGGTAGGACCTTGAGGAGCGATTGTTCCAGCCAGTATAGCTCGACTAGTTCATTATGATAGGTAAGTTCGACCACCACATCAAAGCAGCAACAACGGTCGGGATATAAATAAGTAGTACTTTTTTTAAGTAAAAGAATATCTACGTTGCTTTATTCAATGTTTAGTTAATAATCATATTTTGCATGAGTTGTAAGCCAGGGTTTAGTTCTAGATCACTTGTTATTATTCTTCAGGGAGGAAATTTTACTTGATTCCTAGTTTTCATTTCTCGTGTCACCTTCATTCAATGTATCAAAGTAATAATGCAGAAAACTCTAGAAAATCTCGTTAGTACAAGCAGACAATTAATTAATCAAATAACGAACGGGGTATTTATTTCAACTTATTAAGCTTAACTAATTTGTCATACATGAAAGAGGTTTCAACTAGTCACTCTGATTGTTCGAAATTATTCAGGCTGATAAAATCATTGTGTAGTTTAATTGCGATCAAGAAAAAGATTTTTGTTATATCTCTACGAAAATAATGAATGGTAACTGTTGGGATCTATTTTTGGAATAATACTATACATATATTTTTATTGTGTAATCGTTAAGTGACTAGATTATGTAAATTCATATTCCTCTTATTACAAGCTTTATTTTGACCTGTAGACTTTTATTATACGATTTACCATTCCTAAGTTATGCCCCGTTTATTAATTACATTTTCCCACAATCACAGCCACTTTTTGGCTTGATCTTGTACAAATGTTATTTCCTATTTTGTGGTACGATATGGTATGTTTGGTTTGTATATAAACCTAGTATGTTTGAAATATACGATTCATATCTCGGGGGTTGAGATTAGTGTTCCAGACTTGAAAGCAGGGAAGAGAACCAACCAGGGCGCCGGGCTGTTCGTTCAGGTGTAGGCGTCATTTGTTGGTCGCATAAATCCGCGTGTTTTAATTTTTGCAATCGTATAAGCTAAGAACATAACACTTTTGTTCCCCTACACTTTGCAACTCCTCTCTTCCTTGAATAATTCATTTTTTAAGTTCATTATGCTTACAGTAGGCACAGATACCTTAGGGTTTTTAACCAACATCAAGTCATTTATCCATGTGTTCCTTTTTCATAATAACTTTAAAGCTTCTTTATAATTCTTGTTGTAGGAGCGTGCACGTGCCAAAGAGTTAGGGTACGAAGATCCAATTTGTTCAGACTTCAACGCTACAACAGCCATGTATGAATCATGTCTAGAGGAAGTGTTTAAAGCTATTAAAAAACGCAGAAGCGGTCAAGTTAGTGTTATGATAGCTAGTCATAATGAAGATACCGTTCGATATGCTTTAAAAAAGTTAGTATTATCTATTAGCTTAGTTTATCCCATGTCTTATTTCATAGCGTTGCTCACAAAAACATTTTTACTGTTTTCTTTTTTCCCATTCTAGTACCCTGTGTAGATAAGTGACTGATGAAAGCAAGTAATTATTAAATTCTAAACTTAAGTGAAACAATTTTATACAAGTAGTATAAGATAATTATCTGGGTTTTTTTATTTTTCGATTTACTTGTTGCTTTCAAACAAAATAATCACTTCAATATGTAGCAGGAATCAATGATAGTCTTAGGAAGCAGAAGAAATCTAATCAACAAACCATCAATGTAATCGGAGCATAATTTATTCACAACTAGCGAATGATAGATTTAATAGTGCAAATCTATCAATGCTGAGGTCATTCAGCTACGCTGTAAGCAACCAATCATAGGAAAGGTCATAAATATAATGAAAACAACTGTTTTAGTGGAATATCATTGATTTAATATAATAAAGGGATACATTATTTGTGAGCAGAAGGAGGAAATGATGAACAGTTATTCGGAGTTAAGTCATTTTGGGAATGTTGTTTTGAATTTAAAGGTTGTAAAGGTCATGTATATTGCCTAACTTCATGTCAGGTCGCAGGCTGACAATGTCTCATATAATTTCCGGAACAAGATGTAAAGATTAGGAGATGTAAAATGAGTATGAATCAACTAAGCCTATCGTCCACAACCGTACTTATCAGTGGTATTTTCCATTGTTTACCCTATTCCAGCCATGAAGGATGGTGAAATCTTGTTGAAAAGTCAACTTGATTATCTGGATAATGTTTTTATTAACTCGAGCGGCAAATATACCGGAGGGAGATGTATGTTTTCAGTGGGTAACTGTATGTTAAGCCCCAAAAACTAAGTTGTTAGAATTTGTTATTGTTTAGTAAGTGGGATGGATCCCCAGCTCTGGAGTTTCTGCAAATTCGCATTACATGCACACCAGAAATACATAGGTCAACTTAGTCTATGCACACCATAGCATACAATATAAATGCCGTGATTATGAAGTTGACATGGTCTTCACTCTCATTTTCGATATTCGCTACTTTGTATTAAAATTCCGGTTGATTTGGAGCAAGTACATATTATATGTACACCTGAAATACACAAGTCAATGATATATGTACTGCAAAGCGTACATTTTTTGTACGAGTATACAATACATGCACATATGAAACAAGCCAAATCTATATATGCTTTCTATAACGTATACATAGGTATAAATTCTGAGCACCCATTCATCCGTCACGAGTTAAACATGGGCTTAGTTCAGAAATTCTGTCGAATAGTTAGTGTGATGGGAACAGAAGAAAATATTATTCAGGTCAATATTGTTTTGGGATCACTTTATTATGAACTTCGTTTAATATGACAAGTTTGGACTTTCTTTTTCACTCTGTATCATGGGGATAGTTTTGGCTCCCGTTAACCAGTATAAGCAGTAGAATGGAATAACCAGTAAATCCCAGTTGTCCAGTAAAAACAGTAAGACCGCGGACCCAACAGAGTTCACCCAGATATAACGGCAATGACTCTCCATATATGACACTTAGAGATCCGGATACAACAGTAATGAAATAGGCTGTTCTTCCTTGATTGTTCATTTCAGTTCATTGGACACAGTCCCACCATTACCGGACCATTGCGAGAAGGTATAGGTTGAATTTCGCTTTAGATCCCCTTGCTTAATATTTTTGCACCTTTTGAAATATTTTTCTTTAAATATGAAGTGCTATAAAAAATAAGCATGCAATTTATATTAATAGTTAATATCGGTGCGATAAGACATAACTTCAGTAATATTGACTTTTCAAAATATGGTGTATATAGTGTTTAACCTTTATGTGGTGTTCAAAGTTAAATGAATTCTTAGAATCCATCATACAAGTTAATTAATTTCTTAACAGTTGTAATATGGTTTAAAGTGTTCAGTGTAAGTTAAAACACCCTCAACACATCAGATAAATGAAGACAATTCAATCAGCCTTAACTAAATCGTATCTGTTAGTGGTAACTACCTGATTGAAGTCATGATCAGTGGTCGAGGATTTTGTGTTACGTGACTCTGAATGGGTTACTGTGAAGCAAATACAAGACTTATTATCTTCCTTTAAATCTCGGATTTCAATATTTCTTTATGCGCTCATTATTAGAATTTGTATTTTTCAATGCGTGGGAAAACGTGTTTTCCCTGATGTTTCGCTATATGATGCTAATTGTTTTATCAAAAGTCTCAGTTAATATATAAGAACCCAATCAAATTTCTTTGATATGAAACAATTTTATGTTGTCAAGTGAATGAAATAATAAGAATAACAAACAGGTATATTAGAAGGGGTTTTTTGTGGATATTATAGTAATCTTAATAGTTGAGATCACGAGCCCATTGAAGCTAGATCACTATGGAAAACCTGAAAGCAGTGGATGGCCGTTTCGTCCTATTGTGGTATATATAATTTGATTTGAACAGTGTGTGAATTCTAAAAACAACATGCGTTAATGTAGTGAATTTTTTTTAAAAAAAATACAATTATATTGACAATGTTAGGTTACTTTAAGTGATGAGAGTGTTGGAGCAAGATCAAACCATTTTTTTAAAATCCTCATTCTTATTCAAATGATTTGAATTTCATTTTATGTGAAGTGTTACTGTTATGAGACGTTCTTTGTGAGTTTCGAGATTTCTCTTAACAACTTCATTACTATAAATATCAATCTTGCGGTCTGGTATTAAAGCGAGTAAAGATATGCCCAGAGATTATTTTTGAAGTTCTGTTGAATTTCCCATTTGTCGAACAGAGAAGTTCTATGATGTCCATTTCTCCTGATCTTGATTTTTCAAGAAGCTTGTCCAATTTATACTTCGTCTCAGTCTGGACATTTTATTTCTATATAAGATTAGATGATGAATCCTTCGGTATTTTCTCTTTTACATCAACTGCGTTGCTTTGTGGTCCTAAAGAATACCCTGATATTACAAGTGTTGAATATTCTGACTTGGTCTGATGTGTATAGTCTGTATAAAACGATAATTGTTGTAGTTGATGATTTCGGAGTGTTTTTTTCGAAAAAGTTCCATATTGTTTCCTATTTTTTGGACGGGTTTTTTTGGATAGTAGTTTATTCTTAGAATTTTGTTTATATTCCCTAGTTCCTCTTTCTTTCGTTTTTGTTTATTATCAACTTGTCTGTCTTTCATAAAATACTATAAACAACTGATGCCTTTGCACTAATAGGATGTGAGAATCTTTGGTTACCATTTATTATCAGTAGTATTTTAAAGGACGATAATTCTTGAAGCGAGCTTGTGGATCTAGCGGCCCATTATTATTATTATCGGGTAATCTAAAGATCATTTACTAATAACTTCTCTTTGATTGTCATTCTAAGCATTTTAGTTCTTTATTCTCCGTTTGTTGAATGATTGAATAAATGAATCTTGAAGTCGGCTGTAGCATAATAACGAAAACTCAATGATTGAAATGAAATGGTGAAGTTGTGTTTTTTTGTAAATAACCCGCAAATGGTTAGAGATATTATGATAAGAGGGGAATTTTACCCAGGGAAAACACGCTTTTCTCATAGAAACCAGTCATTTTTTAATGAAATAAAAAGATATTAACATTTTCATATGTCACTATGTAAATACATCAGTTTGTTATAATTCACATTTTTTTCTACATAGAATGCATGAATATAGTGTAGCACGGGAAGATCGACTTATTTGTTTTGGTCAATTGCTTGGGATGTGTGATCAGATTAGTTTCACATTAAGTAAGTTAATCATTTTTTTGTTTTGATTGAGATCATGAACCGATAGATGTTAGACCACCTTTGGAAACCTGGAAGCACTGGACGGCCATTTCGTCCTATTATGGGACTCCTCAGCAGTGCGCACCCACGATCCCGCTTGCGGGATTCGAACCCAGGGCCTTCGGTCTCGCGCGCAAACGCTTAACCTACTGGACCACTGAGTCGGCATCCAATGGTGATAGTGTCTAACATCGACCAATCCACGAAGTTGCGCGACCAACTTCCATTGTACTGAGTTAGATACCTGTCTCTACCCGACATGGATTAGCTCCACTGATCACGGCTTCTCACTAGAACTCCGAGAATTCCTTCACGAAGCTAGTCAGCACATGTTGATAAAAAAACAAACTTAATAATCTCCACAACCCCTATACTAGTAAGTTAATCATTGTTTAATGACTTCAACAAGTTACGTACAAATGAATTTCATCTTTTTATTTCAATGTTAAATGAATTCTGAATGTATAAAAGTAACATTTATATGCTGATGATTTGATTATCATAATTAATTTATAATTGAAACTATTGTCAACATTTTGGTGATTATATTAATCGATTATTTTTATTACCATTTACCTGTTAAAAACCGACCATTTCTGGTACATTTGATTGATTTCTGTAACGAGGCTTATCAGAGTGAATCAATATATAGTGTACAACCAAAATGGATCAAAAGAATAGTTTTGTAAATTTTAAGTAGTATTTTCTAAGTAAATGTGGATTATTGCGTTCGTTTTTAAACCAAATCAAATCAATTATATCTGTCGTGAGTTCAATCCCTGATGTGATCTTGGATGTGTCCTGTTGAGCAGTTCTATCCTTAAAAGAAACAACCATCTTATGCTTCATAATTTTTAGTGATTCACCAATTGAAGTTAGTTCGTCATGAAAACGATTTGTTGTATAGAATCATTTTGTTGTATACTTTTATTATTTCATATTTCGATGGGAGTTATACCTTTTTCTCAATATACTTTTGATGTTACTCCTCTCGAAATTATATTCTTTTTTTAAAACATTAAAGGTCAAGCTGGCTACTCTGTATACAAATATGTTCCATATGGTCCTATTGAAGAAGTTTTACCATATCTATCTAGACGTGCATTAGAAAATGGTTCCGTGTTAAATTGTACACTTAGAGAACGTCAGCTTTTATGGTCTGAATTGAAAAGACGTTTGTCGAATGGGCAATTCATTTATAAACCATAGATTAACTTATAAACAGGTGTGTGTGTGTGTGTAGAAGTTAGTTTTAATTTTGATTGTTCTACTTTGCTTCACTTATTCTTTTCTTACTTATTTCCTTGATCTTTCACATCTTTCTATTTATAATTATGTGTTAAAATGTATGTATTCGCTTGTGTAGTTAGTATATATTGTTTCTTGCACACTTATATTGTTGTATGAAACAAAAACAATTTTCTACTACTGTTCGTTTTCTGCTTTCTGTGAATCCCTTCTATTCTTTTCACAAAGTTCGAGCTTTTCAACCAATGTCTTTGGTTCATTTCTGTCTTACATTGAAGCAATCAACTTCAATGATCTCACAGCTTCTATCGAATAATAAATATGTTGTAACTAACTTTATTATACTGGTGAGTCAATCAGAATCAAGATGTAAATTTTTAGTTTTTGCTCAAAATAAAAAAAGCAAGTCATGACAGCAATATCTTTACGAATAAATTTGCAGAATAAACCTTTATTTAGATATAAAATCGCCTACAACTATTAAGAGAACGCTTTGTATGGCTTCATACAGTAAAAAGAATATGAAACTAAAGCGAAATCTAATTGATTCCGAGCTGTCCATTGTATTCAGTGCTTTCCCTCGGATCTGCAGGCCTTCATAATCCAGTTGACCACCAGAAGAAAGATAAGAGTAAGCAGCGTTTTCTGGCTTTGGTTTTCACATGGAATGCATCTGTCAGCTGTTTTCCATCCACGACGTTGCACTGTAGTCTGTCGTATGAATGCCGTATCATATTGACGATCTTCCCAGCTACCCATTCTATAATATCGAAGACGGTTCTTCTATCCACACTTTCAAACGCTTCATCATAGTCAAGAAATTTGATCTAAAGTGACGAGTCCCATTCAATTTAGTGTTCAACAGTGATTTGTAGTTTCGCGGTTCGGTTTGTGCACGAACAATTCTTACGGAACCCAGCCTGTTGATCTCTAAGTTGGGCGTCTATCGAATGTTTCATCCGGTTCAACAACACAATTGAAGACGTTTCCTAGTGGTGTGATGTCTCTACAGTTTCCAATTTTTTCAGATCTCCTTTCTTTGGTATCCAGATGAGATATCATTCATTCCAGTTTGTGAGCACTTGTTCTTCCTCTCAAATCTTCCTGAATAGAACATGGAGCATGTTTGCAGGTACTTCTGTCTGTGACTTTAGTGCTTGGGCTGATAAATTTTCAGGCGTAACTTTTCCCACTCTTGATCTGTCTGGTGGCTATCCTGATCTCTTCGATCGTTGGTTGAGTAGGATTGTTAGGAAGTCTGTAGGTGGTATTTCGGTGTTCGGTAGATTCAGTGGATCTGGCCTATTCGAGAGTTCCTCGAAATATTCTGCCCACCTGTCCCTCTGTTCTTGAAGTTAAGTGATCGTATCACTTTCTTTGTCTAGACTTCTTTCGCCTTCATCGTTCTCCCTGGATTACTATGTTTCCCTGCCAGTTTTTCCGTCGTGCCTCATAGTTATTTCATATTTCCTTCCGTTGCAGCTTTTTCGCTGTCGATGCCAGGTCTTTCACATATCCCTGCTTGTCGGCCCTAATGATCCTCTTCACTTGCTTGTTCTTCTCTGTGTATTGAGCTTGTGCTTCGACTTTCTCTGTTCTGGTTCGACTGTCGATAATTGCCGTCTTCTTGTTCTTCCAGTATTGAATCATGAATCTTGCTTGTTGCGGCCTAGAAGTTCTTCACATGTGAAAGTTAGTGCTTCTCTGACCCCTTTCCAATTGTCTTGTTGTTTGTTCTTCCTTTAGTAGATTCTGTCAGGCTTGTACCCTGTTGTTAGGAACTGCCTTGGATTGATTGTGTTTGTGAGGAAAGCTGTATTTGTAGTGCTGTCTTCCGAGTTATCCATTGCTTCTTTAGCTTCAGTTTCATGTTGGCAATTACCAGCTGGTGGTGATCTTTGGCTATGTCGGCTCTTCTCCTTGTTCTCACGTTTTCCTCCTGACCCTCCAAATTCTTTTAATTATACACACATGATCGATGTGGTTCTGTGTGAATCACTCGGTGAGACCGGAGTAGCTTTGTGTATGCGACTGTGCGAGAATATTGTGCTGCGTATACTCATTTTGTTGAGTGGGAATTTCTCACCATCCCTTTTCTTTGCCCCAGTCAGTTCTTGTTCTCTCATGATATTTTTTGACGCCATTTAGAGCAGTCATTGTTGTTGATGAGTTCGAAAGTTTCATGCCCTGAGTTATGACCCTAGTGGGGTCATTCGATTGGTTGTTATTGGAATATACGCATCGTCAGTTCTCGTATAAAACTATCGGCTTAATTCGCGTTTGTGAATAACGTGTATGATGGTGGATTTTGAATACGAATATTTTCTATGTTCATTGATCTGAACTGACAATCAGAGGAACGAAGCGAAGAGAAATGAGCTTGTGGGTAAACTCAGATTAGTCATACTTTAATAGATATTTATGGTCAGGTGGAAAGACGTTACACAGTTTGACCAATAAGATGAGAAGTGCGCACATATGCGGTAGCAATGGAAAAGTCAGCTTGATAAGCGCATAATTAATAAGGTCGAAATGTAGCTCAAGAAAGCTAATAAATTGATTTGTTCGGAAGCTAGAATAAGCTTTGTAGGCTTGGCATAGCAACCGACGCCACAATATCTTCATATTTGTTGTTGTCCATTCCGAATTTGGCGTGTAGTTCTTTCAATATGATTGTCAAGTTTTTTCCAATACACTTCTCTATTATCCACTAAAATGTCTCACCTGACCGATCTTTGCCGTCTTCATTGCTATCGTTGATGGGTGCATAACATTGATTGTGATTTGCTCCTTATTTGTACAGAATGATGCCTTGAGGATTCTGGATCCATCAGTTTCCCATACTATGAGTGCATTACGTGCTTCTTTGAACAGCATCAGAGCAACTCCCTGAGCGTGTAGAACACTGTTTTTCGTGGAATACAGCAGCATCTCTCCTGAACGTAATTTTTTCACCCATCTAGGATCCAATGTGTTTCAATGATTTCGAGCACTGTCGAGTTTTGTGTCCTCGTTCCGTATTTATCTGATTGGTCCTCTCGGTATCCCACATTGTGTGGCAATTCCATATACCTATGTTAATTGTTGCTGTGGTTGTGAGAAGGGTCATCGGCCTCATGACTTCCAAAGAATCTCAGCTTTCATCATGAAGTGTGATAATTGTTCATTCAACTCGTAGTGCAGAGTTTAAATTGCTTAACTTGTTCAATCTGGTTGGTTTTTGTCTAAGAAGATTGTTTTCTGTGGGGTGGGTTGTTGACCCTATGCCGAACCCTACTTTGTGTGGCCCTGGGATCAGAAGTAGCTCAAGAAACGCCTCAAGCTGAATCAGGCTATCGTCGAAGGACAGAATCGTCAGGTTGGAATCACTGGTGATAACAACAGGACTAGTTAACGTTTAAAGAAACCGTTCATAATCCGCAGCCATTCAAGTAAATCACATTAGAAATCGATGTAATGCGAAGTTCACAACGAACTGGCGTTAACTGCATATCAATTAATAAATCAGTATATACCATGTGCTAGGCTAATAAATCCACTTACCAGAACCATTGATATGCTAATGATGGAGGTGTTCGAATCCGAAATCTGCTTATATTCAAATGCGTTGGGCTCAGTGGTACCCATTATTTCAATAATCGATCTATTCCTTCAAAGTTTATGACGCCATGAGATTCTGGGTATATATCCAGATTTTCCAACTAAGTCACATTCTACAGACATTAGTATGATCAACAATTTATCCGATCCTTTCGAAATATTTGCGTGCACCGTAGTTATACATGAGGTTAGATTTCAATAGGTCCAGATATTTACTATACACCGATGTACCAAGTAACCCGAATTCTTTAATAAGCGATGCACAGTTGTCTTTATCCTTATTCCAATTCATTATACTAGCAGGTTCTTCTAATCGTCTAGATAGATTGGTGACCACATTACATACCTTTATGCATATTTATGAATTCACACATGAATGATGATTTGAGTCATTGGAAGAATAAATTTACTGGCTGAGATTAAATTCCTTTGGGACCCATAAGCATTCCACCAAGAAGCGTGCGCACACTGAACCGATGCTTTCAATACTCGAGCAATGCTCCGAAACCCAGTGTGTTTCTACAGCATCATATCCGATTATGACTCCCATCCTATTCCTCCTTGTTCTCGAAAGAGTATATCTGTAGAATTATGGTCTACTATGATATTAGTACTGCTCTAATAATAGACCTAGTCCTAAATTTGTAGATTTGTCATGAAATAACTACCTAATCTATAAGATCTTACGTGGAAGTCACACCATCGACTACACCAACTCACTGTATCGTATCAATTACCAATACATGATGAAGAACAAGCTTAGGCTAGAGAAAGAACAATATATTTAATATGAATAGAAGATATAAGGTAACATTCAGCAGGGACCACGCCTGCATGGCCGAGCCATGCCATTCGATCAACTCCAACTCATTCAATCCATTGTTCGCGCCTTCTCCATCGTTAGGTATTTCTCCGCGTTAAATATTGAATATATATTTTCCGAGTAATCTCGTATTCAGCTTTGAGGATTTTGTGGTTATGGTCCAATGCCATTACATATCCCCCTGGTACTTCCGCTGTTCCAAATGTTATTTTTTTGGTTGTCCTGCATCACAGATAAATCACTTTTTGATCACGCAATTTCTGCTAATTTGAAGTGTTCAACTTCCCGCTTCAAACGAGACTTACATGATTTTGCTTCATGACGTTCTTATACACAAATAACATAGACTTTACCTTCTTACTTTCCGTCTGCTATACAAAGCACTCATTTTTGTTAAGTCCGTACAATCTCTCTTTCTGACCACCTAGACAACAATCGCAACTTAAAGACGTAGACTAGTTGCTTATCTCGTGCTTAGCTACAATATGGAGTGTATTTGTGCCGATTCGGCATTCATAAACGTTTTTAGTAACTTTTG